GCTGTTGTTGCAAGAGTTGTTGTTGTTGTTCTTTCTTTTTTAAATCGTCCTTATTGCTCTTATCACTGTCGTAGCATTCCTCGTCACGGTCTAAGTTCTCCTCTCCAATAATACCAGTAAGCATATCGATGACATTTTCGATGGTGTTTAGTTTCTTTTGTATTTGACTCTAAAAGGGGGGAGAGAAAAAAAGGAAAATTAGCAAAAAACTGATTCAATTTTCAAATGCTTCAATTCAATAATTCATTTCTCTCATTGTTCGCAACGCAATTTTTTAATTATGGTATATAGTTGAAAAATCTTCGCATGATGACAGGCGATAGGCATCGAAAATTGGAGATGAGCAGGTCGTGGTCCATCCAACATCACGGGTCATCTGTCGGTTTATTGCTCATCCGTCGTTCTCATTATGCATTGGTCTGGTCGATTTTTTTACAAGTTTTGTTGACATATTTACAATAAAATTTCATATATATAATACCAGATTTAAATACAAAAATACCCAAAATTACATTTCTCGTACGTATATACGTATACAATTTCAATGATAAAATATCAGATATTTCGCAAAACATAACCTTTACATATACATATAAAAAATATGGTAGGTGAAAAATTTGTGTGCACGCAGCAAGTTTTTAACACTAACTTCATGATCCATTTTCCCGCTTATCCTGCAAATATGCGCTTTTTAACCAATGTTGAACGCAAAATGCGTGAAGACCTTGCACACATCTAAATTGTACGAAAGCAATTGCTGCACAACTACGCTTGCATACAGACCTAAGTATGCATATACAAATCAACGGGTACATAAGCTGTGAAAAATTTATCATTTACTCACATAATCGACTTAAATACGTTGCTTATACTCTAACGGTAAATAATTTAATTGCAGTTATTCATATTTTAAAATGCTGTGTACGAAAAATGCTGGGAACAAATATGAACTTTGGCGTCGATATAGTCCAGCTAGAATTGATTTGTTGTAAAACAGATTTCCAACTAAATACTGTCTCTTAACTGTTCTGATTCTAATGGAAAACTATTTTTCCACAAATTTAAGTGATGCATGTGCATTGTACTGTGCTTTGTTTAGAGGGTTTCTTATACAGTACATTATATCGTCGTCGTTTAAAGTACAAAACCGCGCATCAAGATAATGCAAAACCTCTTATGTGAGGTTGCCAAAATTTGAAAGGAGATGGTAAAGCCTGTCTTATTTTTAAACGCCTCTCTCTTTTATCACTAATTATCTCTACCTTTTATATCTGTCTATATTTTGGTATGAATGTATAAGGCTTGATATCAGTTACGAGATTATGCAGAAGCACGATACGCGGTTTTATACTTTAAACGACGATATACTTATATGAAGAAGTGCTCCGCTGAAGAGGGTGCTTAATTAAGTCATAATGGCGAGTAAGCAGTGCATGAATTTGATAATTTTATTGCGATTCTTGCTTGGCTGCATTGTGGTGTGGCGAGATTTGCACATGTAAGAAAATTAAAAGTTTAATGCAACTAGCAGGTCTTTCAACGCGTTTCATACACTTTGTGAACTCAGTCAACCTCTTGCAGCATGGTTTACCGTGTCAAAGTCCTCTGACAAATTGAGTCTCTCCAATATGATGCGGGTTCAACGACGTTTTCGATTAAGACCGTCCGCTGTTGGCGCTGAAACAGTGTTGAGCACGGAGGTGGCGCTAGGCGTCTTTCGAAATCCAAGCTAATGATAATCGAAGAACAGGTGCTAGGTTAATTGCAGGAGTAGTGAATGAATGAATGAAGGAATTCCCTTGCGATTGCATTGGAATCGGCCGCGGTGATCGAGTGGTTAGAGGTGCGTATCATCAGTAGGTCCAGGTTTCAATCTCTGGTCGGAGCAACATAAAAGATAAATCCTCGGCAGGCAATGGCAAAAACTCGAGTGTATTTCTGTCATTGAAAAAAGCTTTTACATCCCCTCTGTGTGACATCAATTCACGCAGCACAACTCGGCCAAGTCTAGCATTACACATTTGCATTTTTTTTTTGCATAATTATCTCTCTCCGGTTTTCTTATATAATGGTATGATATGGTATGATACGGCACGTTGAGATGTTGTCTAACGCGACGTGCTTGTGGTTTCCTTTGAATGAACCTCCTCGCTTACTAATACATAAATATGCTTTTTTAAAATTAACTTATTCGCCCATATACGATGGAGAGCGGATAATAAAAACACAATTCTGTTCATAAATAGAATATACTTTCCTATTTTTAAATTTCTTCAACCTAATTTTTAACACCAACGACTTGAGATTGTTCGTATACAAGTTTTACTGCTGCTAACCAATAAACCCCAATGTTACCAACCTCTCAACAAATTTTCTGCTTGACCCGACATTTGCTGCTATTCGTTCCAGCATTTGTTACACAGCATTTAACACCAAAATTATATTTAAAAAAAAAATACTGGCGCATAAATACATTTCACATAGTACGACATACCTGTAGTTTTTCATTTTCGTCGATAAAGCCCTTTGTGGTGGGCGATGGTGGGGCACCATTGCCGCCATGTAAATCCTTTCTTTGTTCCTTCAACATTTTTAGTTCTTTACGGAGCAATGATGTCTTCTTGAGATAGCTGCTGCGCTGACGCTTCAATTCGTCTCGTTGATTTTCTGCTTCTTGTGCAACAGCTGCTATAAGCATATGAAAATAAAATTTAAGTCGCATTATTCGTTTAGTTCAACGAAAAATATTTAAATATATATTTCAACTAAATGCCTTTTATGTTGCATTTTCGTTTTATTTACGCTTTGTACAATGCAAAGCATTGATCGGTTGAGAAGTTACAAGGCACACATTAATTGGTATGTCGTTTGGATCGTTGATCCGCTCCTTACTCCCAGGTTGGTGTGTTCCACCAGAGCGTGTTGGACAACATGCGGCACGTACTGGTCGAGTTTTAGGTTGTGCGCCGATACCTCGTTGAATTTGACCATATACTTTTTAATTTATATTTTTTCTATATGCTTACAGCACGGCTAGCCTATGGGGTTTAGTGTAAGTTATAATGTGCTTCAACAAAATGATGTACATCATGTTTCTGAATTTTGTTTGAACGAGATGATGTATATGTGCTATACCTAATGTTACTAGCCGAGTGTGTCATACGATTTTTTGTGAAATGAATAAATTGACGTCAAATCGTGCATTTTTTGGTTTCGGGATTTTGAGAGAATACACAACACGAAATGGTATAAAATTTAGTACTTTAAAATGGAATAACTTATCGAACGCATACCATCATGTTTTGCACTTGATTCAATAACAACTGGTGCCGGTTCAATTACAGCTTGCGGCGGTACAATTTGTGGTGGTGGTATGGATGTTGGTGCTACTGCTGGAGGAGGCTGTTGTGTGATTTGCTGTAGCTGATTTGGGTCTGGCGTTGGTATCCAAGGCTGTTGTGTATAGGCGTCTGAAGAAAAATATAAAAAATGCATTTTAGAAAAACTTTGACTTGGAATCAAAATTTTTTATCATAACTTACCATTAGCTCCCCAAACTGGTGGCGGCGGATAGGCAGCATTGAAAACAGGTGGTGCCGGAGCCTGTATGCCATAAGCGTCTGCAGTGGGCTGTGGCGCAAAGGTGCTTGCTGCCTGTGGTGGCGGCACGGAATATTGGTTATATGCAGGTTGTGCATATGTATCACTCTGATATAATTGCGGTGGCATAGCGCCAAACTGAGTTTGCGGCGGCGGCTGCGATACTTGTGGTGGTGGTGGCGCGTTCATCGGCAGCGGTGAATTTGGTTTCTTTTTAGGGGACCATCGGTTACCACCACCTCGACGTGGTGATACACTACGACTACGAGAACGGCTACCACTACGGCCACGATAGCGGAAACCCCGTCCTCCGCTACCACGACGTCTATCGGGGGAACGTCGAATATTACGTCCCCCACCTGCATCGAAACGACGGCGGTCTGGCGAGTAGTCACGAAAGCGATTACGTCTGGGTGGTGGGGAAGGCGAGCGACGTCGGCGGCGGGCGACATCTAGTGGCGAGGGTGACCGTCGACCGCGAGAAGGAGACTTGCGCCTCGTACGTGGCGGACTGCCAGAGGGCGACCGGCGACGACTAGAACGGCTTGCGGAAGTTCTATTAGCATCATTTTCCGTTTTAGATTTTTTTGTATCTATAATAGAATTTTCTGTTGTAAACTATGCTTATATACCTACATGTGCGACGGTTTACTATTTCCTATGTAATTTGCATCGATAACTACTCACCATAATCAGCACCTCCATCGCTATCTGCTCCTGGCGGACCAGGTGGTAATGTATTTCCAGTACCCAAACGCCGATCTGCCGGCTGTTGTAAAATTAGTTCTTCTTCCATTACAAAAACTCAAACCCAATTAGGTGCAAAAAAGTACATGTACACACAATGCGTTGATACTTTTCGATTTTGTTGGCAGTCTGGCTCCCTGCCCTTGAGCCGGCCAGATTATAAAACTTGTACTGTGAAGTCTTTAAGTAATTAATGCCCGTTAAGCAAATCCTTATCAAACTCGAAGTTTGTTGAAAGTTTTTTAACCGTTTTGTAGATTCTTCAGTAAGTAATTTTCACTAAAATTGCATTTTTACGCCACTCGACAAATTTTCGTAGATGAAGCGTGTAAAATTTTCAGAAATTTTGACAATCTCGCAGCATTGAGCTTTGTGCGATGTCAAATCAAAAGGGTATATTCAGTGCTATACAAGTTCAGAGTCAGCAATGCAGGGCAAAAGGCGTCCCAGTATATAATTTTTGTATGCCTTCCGACGTGAATATATATATNAGAAAGGGGAAAGCAATGCTGAGTCGAAATCCTATTGACTCTCAAGGCCTTTTAGCTCCTGAAATTATCTACTAGGAATTAAAAAAATTAGCTACATATTTCACTACACTCGGGTAATATTTTTTATAAATACGCCACTATTTTTAAAAACAAAAACCTTAATTGATTTTGTCCATTTTTTATTAAACAAAAATCCTACGTAGATCCAACCTATCGGGATAAGCCGCAAGTTTGACAAATTCTGTTGTGTTCAGGGTAGAAATACAAGATATGAATCGTTTATAATCTCTCTACATGCAAATATTTAATATCTTATTTCTAAATGAATACAAAAATTAAACCCAATGCTGTTTTTATACAAACAAATATTGAGGGTATTGTAAAGTATCTATCGTTAGGTAAGTATGAATTCATGTATGTATGAATAAATAGCTGATGCAGCCGCTGGACATATTATGAGCCCACAATGATATTGTTGATGGGAATGTGGATAAGTTTCACAAAGAAACCTATGAAGCCCATAATACAGAATCCAATAGCTGTAGCAATGGCGATTTTCTGGAACTCCTTACGGTCAGGTTTCGTGCATCGTTTAACCAAACGGATGGAGTCCTTGGCGAAGGCACGGCCAGGTTCACAAAATTTAACAACTTTATCCATGGTTTCAAGTAGCTTCTAGATTAGTTAGGCGGGTGATGGATGCTGCAATAGTAAAGAAAATTAATTGCATATACTAAACTACAACGATGTTGTAAACTAAAATCGCAATGATAGTTTGGAACGCAAACAATGGAGTGCAATTAACGGCGTTGGGGCTTCCACATAAATAATATAGTTTTCGTCTGAATATTGAAAGCTAAATACGTTTTGTATCCGTTTTTATGCTTTCTCCTTTCACTTGTATTTTTGCTGCACGAACTTGACGTGGCAAATGTCACCAATGTTTGGACATTTTCTGAACCGAATGTGTTTAAAATATAATTATAATTCCAATGCACATTTTTTATGTTATGTCTGCTGTCGAACTTAATAATTTGTATACTAAATTTCCAATTGGATTTGGGAATTCAGTAATAAAACACACAAGACGTACCGTGTAGCTTCGTCCGCTGCGAAAAGTTTGACACAAATTAAGCGGACAATTCGTTTTGCTTTCGGAGCAGTGCTACCAATCGGTATTCGTGTCACACGAATTGTCAGCCGAACTCTACGTGTCAAAACGAAAATCGTTGACGTTTCTAATGTCGATAAGGTAGACATCAGGGCTGCCGTTTTCGTACTATTCTACCAAAACTGGTAACTTTTATCTTCACAAATTTGAGTAACTTTTTGGTAGTTTTTTTAACTTCTGCTGAACATTTTCAAATATCTTTAGAAATGAAATTACATTTGCTATTATTTGCCATTAATCTTCAATTTAAATCGGAATTGTTGTGAATGAGCATTTCAATTAATTTATTCGTACCACCTGGCAATACGGATATTTTAATTTTCTCAAGAAAAACGTTTATTTTCGTGGAAAGTCTATCCTGTGCGTGCGTTTTTAGGGGAGCGTTTATTGACATTATGGACAAGTAAGTTGATTTAAGCAATTTTTAGTCAGTTAGTAAAAAATTAAGCTTTCTTTGTTTTTAAAATTTTTGGTAAGCTTTGGGAAAATTTTGGTAACTTTTTAATGCATTGTATAAATAGTAGGGAAAAAAATTATAAATGGCAGCCCTGGTAGACATATTGAAAACTGTCAAATTGAAAATTTTAAATCTGCTTTACCGACAAAATATTCGCAATACAGACGTGGCTGCGATATGGAAACAAGTCGCATTTTCTGCCAATGGCGTGTATTCTGCACTTATATCCCGCCAAATTTAACTACTTAGGGCCGTTTGCATCGTTATAAAAAAAAAAAAAATACGCAAATAAAAAGCAAAGAATATATAAGCGATTAAACTTTAACTTTCTATTTTTTATAATGTATAATATGTATCTTGGGAACTACTTGACCGATTAGAAAAGTATTGCTGGCAATTCAAAGATAATTTTAATTCATTTTTTACGACGTATTTACTATGACCATTTCTAAAACAGATTTTAGTTTAACACCATTTACAAAAAATGTATATACAATTTCGATTTTTCGCAATACTTACGTTAAATTTTGCCTTATAAAAATACTTTCTGTATAAGGAAATAACTTAAACTCTTTTCTGCGATAGGGCGTTTTCGAACTGGCTGCCGAGATAGGTAGACTTTCCACACAGGTTGCGATATGGTCTTATTTCGATTTTGTTTTGGAAATAGAAGCATATGACGTCATTTCCAATGCATAAGTTAAATAAAAGTTATATTCAAAATTAAAAAAATAGTAATAAAATATAATTTGAATTTACACCCTCTTGACCTGAAAATAAATATTTCAAAAGTTCTGTAAACCAGTTTGTGTTAACTAGAGATGTTGAGAACGACCAATACGATGGCTAATAAAACGACAAAGACGGGGAATGCGAAGACAAAGTGTAAGGCGAATACGAAGACCGAAATGAAGACGAGCACGAATACGAGCATGAACGCGAATAAGATGAAAACGATAACAAACACAAAGACGATTACGAAGAGGGAGGAGAATACGAATAGTAAGACGACCAGGGCAGTAAATATGAAGAGAATACGACGAAGAAGAGGAATACGAATCCGGATACGAACACAAAAACGAATACAACAAGGAAGAGGACTAGGAACACCACCACGAATACGAATGCAAATACGAACACGAACTCGACGACTACAACGAACAAGAATATGAGATGAAGGCGAATATTAAGATGAAGATTTATGAAGACAATGACTATAAAACTAATATTGATCAACATTTTTTCAGGATGTAAAGAACGAGAAATGATTCGAAAGAAGTTTCACGTCCGTAGTAGAGATGGGCACGGGACTAAATATTTAATCCCGATCCCGCCCATCCCGAAATTCGATTTTAAAGTCCCGAGCCCGCCCATCCCGACGTTTTCCAGATTTGTACCGCGGGTCCCTTGGGTCCCGAAATCTATCTTTAATGCAGGCTATAAACAGACAACAAATTGAAACGATCGGTTGAGATTCAACGTTCAACGATCGAAGGTTGACAAAAATGTTCATGTCTTTCAAATTAATTTTAAATAATAAAAATAATAATGATAGATCTGATATCTTCCGATTATTTTGTTTTTAAGGAAGATTTTGTGAATTTGCGGGGTTTGCAGTTTTATCGGGAGTGTCGGGAAAGGATTTTGGTCCCGTCCCGCCCGCCATATTTTTACCGATCTTCGCGATACCGCCCATCCCGGCCAAATTTGAATCAGGATCGTGGGTCCCGCGGGTCCCGCTATCCCGCGTCCATCTCTAGTCCGTAGTGTGACCAGGTAGACTACTTCTTTTTGATTTCTTGAGGCTTAAGCCAAAATAGTTTGTATCCTTAAGGAAACTAGTTCTGCACTAGTTCTTATCTAATAAAATATACTGCAGGGTTTAAGAAGATTCGCAGAAATTACAGCTTGCCTTATCAACTTTTTGTTTCGATAGTAAGTAAAATTTGTATTTGTTTGTTTTCATTGAAAATAACACATTGTCGTTGAGATTTTGATATGCAGCTAAATACATACATATATGTATGTATATGTGTGCACATATGTACGTACATACATACATACAATGTCGTACATACTACAAGTTTGTTTTTTAAACAAGGAAATGGTATATACACAGATGCCGCCGCACAAACTGCAAAAATGTAAAGCAAATAGTACATATGTAGGTACAAACATTTATTTAAAACGATAAGAGAATTAATTAATGAATACGTTTCAATGTACCCACCGAATATTATATTAATATACTACGTTTTTGGTATGTAAATTAAGAACTTTAGTAAAAGAAATTTTTCGGAATAAACTAAACTTACAATACAACTTTAATATACGTACATACATAAGTATTTACATACATAAATATGCATATACTTACACACATTTTACTCGGCCTATTAGGGTTAATCAGCGAATTCTTGTCATTGTGGGCCTATTTCCATAGATACATGTACATATGTACATACATACATATCGTTGCCTTAATATAGAAAGGCCCTATCTCGCATCGTCGCTGAAATGCACAAAGCCGTAACTAACTAAAATCTTTTATTGCATAAAACGATGCGAGGCCACATAATTCGATCAAATGCATCATAATCAATTAAAACGTAAATTTTCAATTTTTAGTTAGTTGCGACTTTTTGTAAATCAGCGACGATGTCAGATAGGGCCTTTCTATATTAAGGCAACGATATGTACATAATATGTATTCATACATACATAAGAGGCAGAAGTGGCCTAACCCACAATTTTATTCCTTGTACTTAACTTCTTAAAATAATTTCAAATGTAATACACATTGTAATACATCTTAAAGTGAAGGTCGATTATTCCTTATTTTGATGATACGCTATGTAGATCTGTACCTTAAAATTGAAGAATAAGCGACTTCCATTTTAAAATGTATCTCATTTGAGACTATTTTATGTAGGGTTAGGCACTTCTGTTCTCATGGCTTCATACATATGTATGTGTGTACATTAAGGTGGTACAGGAAAAAAAAGTCGGAATTCAAATCAAAAAATATTTAGAGGTCGCTCAAAGCGCTCAAAGTTTTCCATGTATTTTATATGGGAAAAAACAAGTTTTCATAGAAATGGTATGGAATTCTTGAAAATCAATATTTATGGATCCCCGCCGATTGCATTTTTTGAGGTTTTAGAAGTTATATAAAAAAGAGTTAATACTAGAAAATGGTTAAAGAAAAATTAGGTATTGTTATTGAAAGTATCCTGAAGAGAAACGAAGTTTTCCGAACGATAAATATTGATTTTGAAGAATTCCATACCATTTCTATGAAAACTTGTTTTTTTTCCTATATAAAATACATGGAAAACTAGATATAGATGAATCTTAGGGGGTGAGAGCATTAAAATTCCGACTTCACCTTTTCACATGAGTTTTTGGACCACACTAATGTACATACATATGCATTACATACGAGTATAATGCGCATGTAGCTTTTAATAAAAATAAATAAATTGAAATTGCATATTAAATTATGTTTACAGAACTGTTCTGCTGGGGATGGTATTACATAGCAAAACATAGCAAAAATACAATGAATATTTATTTACACGTACTTTTTTGTTGTTGAAGTGTCAAATTTTATGTTTCCCTTGTACACGTTGACGGCATTAGATTCGTTTTCATTGCATTAAAATGCTAGTACAGTTCGTAATTCCATTTATTGCGTTGCCCACGCATTTAGGTCCAAAGATCTTAGATATGAAAATTCTCTGGAAGACCTCAAAATCACCTCTGTTTTTCCGGACCTATATATACCGAAAGTTAACCCACAAAAGTTTATCATAAATTATCAGGATTTGGCATTCAAGTACGCAAAAAACTTGTAAAGAAGAGGAAACTGAGAGCGCAAAGTGACAATTGATTCTGAGAAAATCAGCTGATCAAAGTCACCTGTAATCAATTTATGTACAAAATGACATTTATTTTGATGATTTTTAAGTTTAAAATAATTTATTACAACTTCAAATGTTCTAAAAGAAAATAAATACGTATTTTCTTACGTTTAATTGCTTTAGGCAAACTTTAAATTTACATGTCGTTAGCTTAATTCACAAAGGCCCTAACTGACACTTTTTTCGAAACTGCGTTTTTCACAGATTTTGGTAGTATTCGTCCACCTTCACTAAAAATTTGAAAGTGTTAGTACAAAATAGGGATGACAAAAAAAAAACAAAATAATCCATTAATTAATCATATGATTAATCACAAGCAAAAAATAATAATTGCAACTAATATCAATCATTGAGAAATAATCGATTAATCGAATTTTTAAAGGCACTCTTTTACAGTGAGTGTTCAACAAAAACACTTCTCTAAAAAAAATTTCAAATTCTCTTGTTAATTAGCCATAAAAAAATAAAACGAGTATTTTTAGCGGCGATAATTAGTTATTATTTAACCAAGTTTGTAAAAACATTTGTTTTGATAAGCATTTTGTTGTTAAGTGGTTGGGTTTCTCGG